AACAAAATTCCAAATTCAATTTTCCTTCCATTTATGTCCCTAATAATTTTCCCTGTCACTCTCTTAAGTTTCATATAGTTTCTAAAATCTATTTCCAGGTAAAACTGATGATACTGCAAAATATTCTTAGTTGCACGACACGTCTCAAAAAAGTGAATTTTCACCCTTAACATTACACATTTTAGTTTTCATTTTCTTTGCGAAAACGAAAGGTCAGTTTAAATCTAAATAGTGATATTGTGATAAATAAAGTTCAAATCTAAATAAATAGAACAGGAATCATCTGTGGTCAGTAATAATCTCATTAACATCAGTACTGTTATATATTCTCAACATTTGACCAATCTCTAAACTTCTCCTGTAACCACTGTTCTTTTTCGACAATTCCCAGCATTCTTTCCAGTGTTCAATAATTTTTCGTTTCATTAATGCAATAATTCTTCGTCTAGAATATAATATCTTCAGGTCTTGATCTACATAACCCCAGACAGTTTCTTTTGCCAGTGTGTCCACCCTCTAATTTTCAGCAAATCCAACATGGTCCTTAATAAAATTCAAGTAAATATTGCGATCAAATAAACGCTATGATCGTCATTTAGATCTAAAATCCTTTTTAATCTGTTCACCATAGTATTGCCATTAAAAGGACTGGAAATCGCTTGTAAAGCAGACATAGTATCTAAGTACATATGAACAGTTTGTTTATAAACCAGATTTTCTTTTAGCCATTTCGATGCATAAAATATCACCCTCAATTTGACTTGATAAACAATACTCAGCCTATCCAACGTAAATTTCCTATTCTCAATCTCAGTCTCATGAAAGTATACCACAAGAGTGCTTCCGACTCTGCTGTTTGTTTCAGAGCCATCTGTATAAATATCAATTTGTCCAGCACCCATAACATTTTTATCAAATGCAACACTTTTTTTTTTTTTTGGCAGGATGAATTTTAGTGTCATTATAATTCAAAAACATTTTTATTAACATATACATCCAAAATTTCAAGTCCTTTCACAAAACTGCTTCTTAGTAGAAACTTATTATAGTGGTATTTATATTTCAACAAGAGGGGGACACACCAGCGAGATCACATGGCACCTCTGTCGAGACCATCCTGAAGCATCTCATGACTGCCAGCATCTACGCTCACTATCCAGATTCTGTCTTAACCTCAGAAGTTCCCCCCCCACTCAGAAGCCCATGCACCAACACCATACATTATAGCTGGAACAATAACATTTCAATATAAAATCTTCAGGGAGGCAATCTTCTGAGCAATAAAACTTAAGGAGAATTTATCTCTGAAATACTTTAAAACAGAGTCTGTTCCTCTCTGTATACTTTTAAAGTACTCAATGAAAGTCAGTTTACAGTACAAAACTACAGCCAAATATTTAATTTGGTCTACAAATTTAATTCTCCTATCATTATATTTAATCTTTGATATGCTAATCTTCTTCCCACTTCAGAGAGGAAAAGTCCACAAGTTTTGTTTATACTGAATTCAACTTATTTCTTCTTTGCTATAATTTACATATTCTTTTTCTACAAATTTTAAATTTGTTCTTCTTCAGAGAAAAATAAAAAATTAGAAACAAAATGTTGTCCGCAAAACATACCTATTCAATGTTATCATATTGATTTTACTAACTGATTTGTTGGCGATAAGGCTCCAAAACAGGGAGGCACTACAGGAGCCCAGAGGACACCCTTTTCTTAATTATCTTTCAATAACAATACCACTAATTTCATTTGAAAAATAATCTTCCAGTTCTCACAATAATTCCTTAAAATACATAACATGCACTGAGAACTTAACTTTAATTAGTCAAATCTAATCTTTTTAATTATTACATCAGGGTGAGCCAACAAACCAAATGGAATGCCCCCCAGACATCAAATGTATTGCTGTTCAGAGATATTTTTATATGTATTATATAAATGAAAATATAATCTGTTTGCCCACAATTTGTTTAAAACTTTTCCAAATACCTTCAATGGATGAATTGGCCTTAATGGAGCATTATACTTTGGTGTTAAAATCAGCTTTGCTATTTTCTAGGGTCTTGGAAAACTATTCAAATCAAGACATTTGTAATACAAGGTTGTTCAATAAGTTCGCAGAGGACCATATATTCGTCAATATTAGACCTAAAACTTTGACGCCATTTTTATATTTGTTCTTTTTTAGGAACACGTCAAAAATTTCATTTCGATCTCTTAATTTATTCATTGTTTAACCGCCCTTTATATCTAACGTGTTGTGCCTTTTTTCAGGTATGGATAAAATTGAGCAACGTGCAGTTATCAAATTCTTTGTAAAGAAAGGTTTAAAGGCAGTGGAAATTCATACCAAAACGGTGAATGTGTTGGGTGAATCTGCTCCTTCAAAAACAATGGTTTGCAAGTGGGGTGGTTTATTCAAAAGTGGTCGTACCAGCCTTGAAAACGATCCGCAAGAGGGACGTCCAAAAACTGCATCAATACTGGAAATCATCGGAAAAATACAAGATATGGTATTGGAAGACCGTCAATAGACTGAAAGAGATTTAACAGAGGCTTTAGGCATTTCATTGGGCACAGTGAGCAATATTTTGAGTGTTAATTTGGGTTTCAAAAAACTCTGTGCAAAATGGGTGTCGCATTCTCTAATGATGGAGCAAAAACACATTCGGATGGACTTTGCCGCAGCAACATTAGAGCGTTTTAAGAAGAAAAAAGCAATTATCCGTCGATTTATCACAATGGATGAGACTTGGTCTTCCATCATGATCTGAATCAAAAACAGGATGCTAAGAAGGGTTGTGAACGCGGCTCTCGGCGCTGAAACGAGTTTGTGTGCAAAAATCAGCCAGAAGGTGTTAGCATCAGTTTTTTGGGATGTGAAAGGAATTTGTTATAGATTACCTTCAAACTGGAAAACAATTAATTGTTTATTATGTAACCTTTGAATGAATTAGACGAAAAAAATTAGTGAAAGAAGATCCGGATTACGAAGAAGAAAATCATTTCCACAAGATAACGCCTGAGCACACAGCTCAAAAAACCATTGCTAAAATAATTGAATTGAAGTAGAATTATTGCAACATCTAGCCTATTCGCCAGATTTAGCTCCCTCCGACTTCTGGTTCTTCCCACCTCAAACAATATCTCCGTGGAAAACGATTTTCTTCAAATGAAGAGGTAATAGCTGCCATGGAGGGATATTTTGCAGAGCTGTCGAAAAACCACTACAGTCAAAGGATCCATAAATTAGAAGACCGTTGGAATAAGTGTATTGAAGTTGAGGGAAACTACGTTGAAAAATAAAGTCATTTTTACAAATAAAAATTGGTTTCTTCATTTCCGTTCTGTGAACTTATTGAACAACCTGGTATACTATAATGAAAAATGATGGGTATAGTTAAAACAATTTCTTGATAATATCGGTCCCAATCCCATCCAGTCCAGAGGCACTTTTACTTCTCGGATTGTTGATAATCATCAATATTGCCTCAAAAGCTCAAAAGTAAAATGTTTCTTGTATTCACACAATATCAATCTGTGGTTCTGTAATATCATCAGCTACCAAAATTTCATCAATTATACTTGTATACTAGTATACTTTTTTCTTATTGAAATATCTTCTTCCCCAAATTTTCTTTCCCCAAAAAATGTTTTCTTTCTCTTATTGGCAGCCAGCTGATAGTTGTCATAATTCTCTACCAAAACTAACATTTTTTCCATTTTGTTTTTCTTTTTACCCTCTTTATCTTCCTTTTATAAATAGTGAGTTCCTTCTTAATCTTTCTGTTGTTTTTCATATCATCATCAAGGTTTTTATGTATCAACTTTTCAGAAAGGGCTCTAAACAAATCTTTGTTTAATTAAGCTAAACCAAACCCACCAGAAATTCCTCTTAAAATTCTTTTTATGTTTTTCAACAAAGAGACACTTATTCATATCATCCTGAATCGTCATCTCCAATTCACTAATAATCCACTGCTTTATGCACAAATGTGCATAAAACATCATACTGGTCTTAGAAAAAACTTTTGTTAGAAATGCTAGAATTCTTTATCAGATATTTTGATAAAATTCTTATTGAAGGCAGCAACAAAACTAAAATAAATGGTAGGAAAAAAAGGAAATGCAATAAATGACATAAAAATGATTCAGTACACTTAAACAAAAATACAGCAATCATTTTTTCTTACTTAATGCCTCGACTTGCACATCAATGTGCATTTAACATTGATGTGCAAGTTGAGGCATACTGACTAGGGTGTCATAAAACAGTTTTCCATGAAGTTTTGGTACAAAAAGAGTCTTCCACAGTCATTTGACATTATATGCTTAAAGAGAAAGGTGCAATTTTAAAAACAATACATTTTTGAAGAAATTGGAGAATCTGATCCTAGACAGCAAAATGACACTTTTAAAGATAACTTAAGAATTAAATTCCATAAAAACAAGAATGAAGATCCTTCAAGATATTGATTTGAAAGAGCAATAAGTAACAAGAAAAGAGGAAAATAGTCTTCCTCATTATGAGCAGATTGTACAGGAAAGAAGCGTCAGCAGAGATTTTAGTGCAGGATTTTTTCCAGTTTTAAAGATATTATTAATAATCTTGCATCATAATTATGATTTTAAATTATAATAAAAAATTACATAGCTCTGAACATTAATACTCTTGGTCCATACATAAATATCACAAATTTTAATTCTATTCATATTAAAATTTCAAGTACAAACAAGCCTAATAAAATTCTCACTATTTTAATACCACATATACAGAAAATTTTGTCCTGACTATCACTACAGGAACAAGATACTACATGACTTTACAGTATTAAGGCTTTACTGAAAGCTTAAATGCATTTCCAATATACTTTCTCGGAATTTCAAATTTAACCCTGAACATAACAAATACGTTTAATTTCAATCATAAATCTTGAGAATTATTTTATAAAACCAAATGACTAAATTAATATATAAAATTTTATATTACACACCAGTGAGAATATTAATAGTTGTAGTTTTTCCAGCTCCATTATGCCCTAAGAGAGCAGTAATCTGTCCATTATAAACATTCAAGGAAACATTGTTGACAGCTACTTTCTTTTGTAATCCAATCCTGAAAATCTAAAATATAGTTTTATGGGAAAAAAAAATTAAAACACACATAACAACTATGAAGTTTTAAAATCATTATTTACCAAAAAAAAAAATAATAATAATAATAATAATAAAAATAAAAGGTTTAGAGAAAATAAATTTATAAAACCTCTTTTCTTTCATACTATCAGTTTAAAGACAGCCCATACAGAAACTACAAATGCAACACTAATATTGGTATTTACAAATTATCTCATCAATAATCAAACTATCTCAAGCAGAGTGATTGAACACCAGTTGTGGATAAGCATCAAGTAACAAAACAGATAATATCTGCACTTGACGTAACTCTGATTCTCGATAACGCATTTTTTATTTTTCTGAACAAGAAACATAAACTTACTGTTATTGCTATAATTTTTCATGCATTTTGAAAAAAAATTATTACAATTTGGGAGCTTCCTACAGAACAGCAAGCAGTGAATTATTTTCAGAGTTGTAGGATCCTTCCATCAAAAAAGTGCTTACTATTCACCACAGTGTGGTCAGCTGCTGCTGTAAGATCAGAAGTAAAATCAGAATCTACTAACAAAATAGTAGAAATGTAGAAAAGCTCTTTTATGAAATGGAAAAGTGAAGCAGATGGAATAGTGATTGTTTATTGAATAAAGAGGCATCAGAACCTTCAGAATTCCACAGGAATGACTGGTGCAATTTAAGCGAGATATCTGCCAGGCTTCATATTCGATTGTAGCTTTGAATTTGACAGAATAAAATGCAAGTACCCTAATAGCTTCACTTACAGTTTGACTAGTTGCCTATCTGCTAGATAATGATTACTCAAACATGTTGTATTTAAAAAAAAGGACTCAATGATATGAATTTTAAAAAAAAAATTGCAGTTAATGTGCAAACTCCCGCCATTTAAAAAAAAATTAATAATACACTTAAAAATTAATGCAAATTATATCATATAAAGATATTTGTTTACGTTTCTGCACTGTATAGAAGAAGGAAATTAGTAGCTCATCAGAGATAAGAGGAAAATCTTATTTTATCTCAACAAAAACAGAAATAGATTGTTAAATTAATAAACAAATCTGTTGACTCATAGCCATGTAAATACCATAAAAAGATGTATACCATAAAAAGATACCCATAAAAATAAATACCATAAAAAAATGTAAAATACCATAAAAAGATGTATGACTGTAATAAAAATAAGAGGACTTCAAGGGGAAAAAATTCTGCATGAAATGAAGAAAATATATATTTTTCATCTAGAAGTAAAAAATCTGATGTGAACACTACATGACTTCTTGTGCAGCCTACAGAATTATATATATATATATATATATATATATATATATATATTATTTGATGACTTAATTAAACTTATTTCCTCAAATTATGTAACTTAATTAACTGATCCCTCAAGGCAAGTTAAAAATGGCATCAAAAATCGCAAATTTTGAAGTTAAATATTGCGGTCTTGTAATTTAAATTTTTCATAATGAATATAAAACATTCTCAAATATAAGTAGAGAAAAATGGGAGACTGCATTAAAGATAAAATTTTGTTATTTGGCCAATTTTTTTTTTCTTTCTTTCTCTCTCTCTCTCGTTTTTTTTTTTTTTTTTTTTTTTTTTTTTTTATTTTTTTTTTTTTTTTGACACTGTTTGTCATTCGTAACCCTTCTGTAATTGGAAGTGTATGACTATGAACAATGATTGTGAAAATAAGGTGGAGAAGAACTTTTAAAACCAGGTAAAGGAAGAAAATATATATATATATATATATATATTATATGTGTGTGTGTGTGTGTGTGTGTGTGTGTATGTATTGCTGATTGCAATAAAAAAAAAGAGGTGCCCATCTATATGTTACAGCAGTCACATATACAAAATTTCAACATTCTACAGCTAATCACTTTTGAGTTATGCAAGATATATACTACATATGTATGTTTAGACATCAAGGAAAACTCCATTTTGGAATAGAGTCCTTTATTCTGTCCATACATATATATATCACCCAAAGAATAGTCAAAACATATTCAGGAACGGTCAAAATGGATATTTCCATTGAAATATGACAATTTTTTTTTATGATTACAATACTTCCTTTACTTTGTACAAGTAAGCAGAAGGCACTGATGAAAGCTTGTGGTTGTTCTATAGCCTATACAAAAGTAGCTAATACTTAAAGGTAACTAAATGTGTTAAAATGAAAAAAGAATCACTTAATAATACAAAAACGCAAAGCTGAATATAAAAATGGATAAAAACTGTGATTATACACTCAAATAACTGAAAACTTTATTTTTCAAAATGCCTAAATGATAAATTTGATCTAGATAATCTTAACAGGAATAAACAGCCCAGGGATGATTTGTGTCAAAAACAAGAGTTTTCAGCAAATATGAAGGAAGTCAAATTACAATCTGAGCATATACTGGATATTTACAAAATTGTTATGGTCATAACCAATCAACAAATAGCATTGTATATTATCACTCTATGCTTTATGACTGCATAATTCTATTTCAAAGACAGTGAAAAATCTGCATTTTATAGCAGATAAAGAAAAATTTCACAACCCAAATCCAGTAACTTCTCATGGGTCATTTTGAACCACGTGATTTTGTGCTTGTTATGCAAGTATCATACAGCATCATGCTATGGTTATAACAGATTAAGTTTTCAGCATGATGCAACAGTGTCTTAAAATGCAGTTTGAGAGTGATGCTGGTATCTGATAGCAGTGCCTCTAAACACACACAATTACGCTTTGTGAATTCCATTAAATGCATAGTATTTGCAGGTGAATATGTAGTTCAGCTGAGTTTGAAGATGTACATTCTTATTTACCCACGTTTATATATTCTTGCTGCTGATGTAGCCTTTATACCCATGTGAATGAGAATCCAACCAGTACTCATGTAACTGCATTATTTGGTTACAACAAAGGGTTATCTTCCTATGAGAAGGAATGTCTTTGTGAATGACACTCTTAAGAGAAATGAAATCAAACTAGATATTAGTATGGCAATTACAGAGCACAGATAAAATGGTTTTTACATGCTGATTGTTGAGAGATATACTATGTCACTGCTTAGGCTTGTTCAAGCCAAATATATGCAGGCTTTGATAACTCTAGCAAAATTTTTAATCCTGTTACCTCTGCAACTTCATATGTAATTACAACAGCACTTCATATTTAGTTACAGTGGGACTGATGTAATGCACGGTTAAATACCACCCTAAAATAGGACTGATCTTCAAAGTAAAATTGCCAGCACAGAAACACAAGAAACAACAGTTTATATTGCATTCTCCTACAACACCTCCAATGAATGGAGGCTTAATAACACAATTAAAAATTTTAGGACTTGTTGAAAAACATATCAGAGCTCATATTTTAAGAATGCACTTAACTTGGATGCAGTTCCGTATAGCTTCACACCTTTGTACCCTTACAGAAATTTTGAGAACATTCTGGCAAATCTTTTCACTAATTATGAAATTGTTATAAATTTCCCTGCAAGCTAATATTATTAATTTAATTTGTAATTAAAATAATCCCTTAATTATATTATAATTTTAAAAAGATAAATATTTATAACAGCAAAATAATACAAACACATTAAAAGTTAAAAGTTTATTAAAGAATTTGAAGAATTTTTCAAACAATTTAAAAAAATTTATTTTTTGTTGTTTGACTTCTGAATTAGAATTTAAAAAAAATAAAGGAAGCTGAAATGAAAAATACCTTTGAAATACTTTGTATAACAACACCAGGTGATATACCTCTCGGGTCATCTTCAAAAAAATCCTCATTTGCAGTATGGTTAATCAACTCAACTTCATCAGTATCTTTAGGCAGATGTCCACACCAATAGCTTTTCTGCAAAGAAATTTTAAATAAAGCATAAATGATTGCACGCATGCACACATCCAAGATGAAAAAGATGAACTGAAAAAGATGGCTTGTATTTTACTTTCTTCAACATTGATCTTTGTTTCCATTTTCTTAAATAAAGAACAAAGTTATTTTAAAGCAGTCTTAAAATTGTAGACAGGCAAGGTTCAGTACAATTAAATTCCTAATTTTTATATAGTATGTGTTGCTTAAAAGTTCCATTAGTAAAATTTACAAAGATATTAAAAAATGAACTTCAGTAAGTCATTTTTCTATACTCAGATTCAAGACTTTTAAAAATGAATTTGGAAAGTATTTACAAAGCAAAAGCTCCTCCTTTTGGGTAAACAGTTTTATCTTGGGTAAACAGCATATATATTTACAGTTCACTCTTTCTTCATCAAAATAATAAATACAAAATCATCATAAAAAATGCTTATTAAGATGTCTCTTTCAATTTCGCACATAAAGATATTACACATTTTTTCACCAATTAAAGCAATGGATACCAAACTGGGGTTATGCATATCTTTTTGTTTTCAACTAATTAATACAAACTGGGATTATGCAATAATTTGTTTTCAACTAATTAAAGCTCTGAAACAGTGGTGTACACATCCCCAGAAATATATGAACTGCTCTGACGGTAACATTTAATAAATAACAAAGAATCAAGCTATGTTGCCAAGATCTTATTTCGCTTTTATAAAACATTACTTATTTTTTTTTTTTTTTTTTTTTTTTTTTTTATTATTATAAATAAACTTTCTGGATAGCCCTCGATATTTCTAAAGCTGAAAAAAAAAGGGAGCGCACACTTACTTTTTTTCAAAGGTCATCAAATTAATCACAATAGTCTGAAGGAATATTCACGATCACTTTCTGCTTCTCTTTAGTGATCAACAAATCCACATATCTCTTAGCTGAAAATTGAATTCTTGGTTTAAGATGAGTAGAACTTTTTCTGATCTTCTCCCAAATTAAAGGATAATAATTTAATACCTCAAGCACTATAATTTAATGCTGAAATTATTTCAATTAAATATGATGACTGTAAAAATCCTACTAAGCCCTGAATTCGAACTTTCTTCATTAATGCCGCTACAGTATTCACCAGTAGAAATTTCAGATACATCCAACCAAATAAGTACTGAACCAGTCAGTCATCAAATTAAAACATCCAAGTCATTCTGCACTTCGACAGCTGAGGAAGATGGTTTGGTAGTAAAACCATAGAAACTAGTCCTGGAAAATTTGCAAATATGACACCGATTTTTGTTGTTTGAATTCTAAATTAATCATCCAAGTCTTATCAATACACAGAAAATACATAAGCTGCTAGATGGTTCCAAATAGTTCAATACATAATGACATGAACAAAAAGGTCTTGACTTCAAATTTCAAATAATAAAAAAGCATTATCCTGGACACTTTCAAATTTTCTTCTTTAGGAAGTGAATCACAACATACACTACTTTTGCAATGAAGGACTGAAACACTTGTCAGAAATTTTTTACCCTTAGTTGTCACACCTGTCTCTCATATGGGCAGCCGGTTTGAATAAATTTTGTTGTGCCTGTATCTCGTACAGGCTGCGCATCTGCTATAAAAAGTCATGAAAATTCCAATTTTTATCACACTCATATCAGTTTTACTTATAAAGCAGATTCATGGATGGTAGCACAGTACTTGTAATTTGATTATACAACAGTAGTATGCAGATTTAGATTTTTTTTTCCATTAGAACATGTTTTGAAAGGTTTCAGTGCTCATTGTTTTTTTGTGTTTAATATTTATAAAATGAGTATCTCATGTAAAAAAAGAGGATTTAAGTCTTGAAGAATCAGGAACTGATTCAGAAGACAACTTTTTTTCAAATGCTTTTGATTCTGAAGTATCAAGATTTGAAGACAGTGATAATAGAGATGATCCTGTGCAACTTTTAACAGGGTGCCAATGGAACAAAATTTTACATGTCCTAGATATTTATCCTCTTCGTTTTTAGTTCAAATCATTGTTAATCAAGTTAATATTTCAAGGTAGTTCAGACATTTTACAATACTATAAGCAATTTATAAATGATGAAATAGTGGATGTAATTGTAAAAGAGACTAATCATTATGCTGAGCAATCAGATAATGTTGTTGGTAAAAGAAAACTGAAAGGCAGAAGAGAATAGAAACTTGTATTGCCTCATGATTTTTTTTTTTTTTTTTTTTTAACCGTGAAATAAAAAAAAATACTTGCATTTTGTGAACAATGATTTTCATAATCCAGAAAGTCATACTAACCCAAAACTCTACAAAATTGAGCATTTGAATAAAGTATATCAAACAAGAATTACCCTTGAAACAGATATTAATATAGATGAAACTTTGATGATGTTTAAAGGATGTTTATCCTGGTGCCAATATATACCCTTGAAACAAGCAAAATTTGGGATCAAAACATACATGCTAAGCAAATCTAGTACTGGTTATATGTGATGTCATTTATTATATATACCGGGAAAAGAACTTTATTTCATCCTAAATTCCGATCTCTTTTGGTACCTTTACAAGTTATGGCTTAGATGATGCCATTATTGTAACAAGGCTACTGCAACACCTTAGATAATTATTATACTTCCAGAATTATATGATATCATTTTGACTTATCAAACAGATGTGATTGGAACTGTAATACAAAACGAAAAGGATTTACCAATAGCATTGAAAAATAGAAAGTTAATCTGACAAAGTTTGTCATTTAGACATGGAAAAATCCTCACTCTAAAATGGAAAAAAGCAAAAACAAAAAAAAAACAAAAAAAAGAGAATGTTTATTATTAATTTGTTTAATTTACATTAAAAATTTCTAATTTTACAAACATCTGTCATATTTTTCTTCAACTAAACCGCATCCTAAATATTTTGGCGATTATTTTTATGCTTACGATCTGTCGCCAGATCGTCTGCTTTTGGCAATATCTGAATCCAGTTTTGATAACAGAATGGTACCTTAATTGTTTTTATTGTTTCCAAAAGTTTTTTTTTTTTTTTTTTTTTTTTTTTTTTTTTTTTAGTTTAGTTTAGTTTAGGTGCCACTATAGAGACAATAGGATTTCTTGAAGCGAGAGACGTGAAAAAGATGCAATGCCCTCCCCAGGACACGAACCTCGGACCTCTTGAATATGCCCCGAGCATGCTGACCATTACATCATGAAGGCATATGCTAAGAAGGCGGGAGAAATACCTTATAATACACTGGTGAAATAAATTAAGAGAATTTGCATTTTTTATCGAGTTGTATGAAAAGAACTGAAATGAATGGAAAACCACTGCTTCTAGATAAAAATAAAAATCTTGTACAGCAAATACGTAATCGTACACATGCATGTAGGCAGAATCAGCTAAAAAACAGGCTTTATAAGCGCGTGGAGGGTAAGACAAATTGCATTTGCTAGCACACCTCGGCGAATTTCTTGCCGTTATCTTCCAGCAATCAGTTAAATTCACATTGAAAGAGTAAAATTGAGTAACCACCAATGTTTAGATAATGGAATGAGGTGGCAAAATGTTGAGAGGCTAGAGGCAGGCCAGTCACAAGTCCAGATATGCAGGGAGTTTAATATAACGCCCAGCATCATGTGTAACCTATGAAAACAGTTCCAGGCTACTGGATCCATAGAGAGAAAGACAGGGCAAGGTTGTCCAAGAGCCACGACAGCCAGAGAAGATCACTATTTGTCCATTTTAACGAAGCGTAACAGAGGGGCTACAGCTTCTCAGCTCTCTTGGGACCTGTATGCAGCCACAGGAACACATGTAACAAAGGTGACTATTTCCAAAAGGCTGAATGAGAGAAGGTTGTTTGACAGAAAATGGCTGTTTGCGTCCCGCTCATGTCTACAGACAGGAGAGTCCGATTAGCATAGTGCAGGCAGCATAGTGACTGGAATACGGAGCAATGGCCGACCGTTCTGTTCACCAACAGGTCTGGTTTTAGCCTAAACACCGATTCTTGCTGTACTTCCATATGGAGAGAGCCAGGGACCCACTACCTACCCTCCAATGTCCGTGAAACCACAATTATGGCGGTGGCAGTGTAATGGTCTGGGCAGGCATCATGTTGAATGGTCACACACGACATCCTTGACAGAGGCTCTGTGACTTGTGTGAGTATAGGTATGAGGTCTTGGAGCCCTATGTTCGCCTTTTCCAGGGGGGCAGTGGGTTCCGAGTTCATCTTGCAGGACGATAACGCAAGTTCACATAGAGCTCTTCTGGTAGACGAATTTCTCGAGAGTGAGGATATTTGCTGGATGGATTGCTCATGCAGGTCTCCAGACCTCAACCCTATAGAGTATGTCTGGGATGCTCTGGGGAGGGCAGTTGCAGCTCCCAACCCCCTCTGAGAACTATCCAGGAAAGAAAACAGCATTGCTGAATGAGTGGAACCAATTGCCACAGGCACTGATAAACTGCCTTATTTCCAGTATGACATCACGCTGCAAGGCCTGTATGGCTGTAAGAGGGGATCATACCCCCTATTAACCCATTTCTTTTGTGTCTTCTGCAACCACTGTTTCAGACCTTCAGACTCCCATGAGTGTTACACACGAACATGTGTGTCTATTTAACTGTTGAATGCTTATTTTGTTTGTATTATATCAACCTATGTTCACACTAAATTTTATTAAAATCTGTCCAATAGTTTTGGAGATTATAGATCAAATATGAAAATTTTCTTAATTTATTTCACCAGTGTACTACATAATACTTTGCAGCCAAAAAATACGAATACCTAAATACAAACTGAACTTGTAATGCAAAAATAATAAATAAATAAATAAGTAAATAAAATTTGTAAAAAAATCTGGGAAACACTCAACTGTAAAAGGAAAGTAAAATGGCTTAGGTATTCCATACTGCCATGGCCACACTGCATCAACATACCAAAGAATAACAATATATATAATGCAAGATACAAACATCATTCCCATGACCATCAACATATTCAAATCATTTGTTGCACCATATTCAGTTATATTACTCCATTTCACACCTTCACCTGCAAATAATCTATTTCAATTATTTATTTCAAGGACATACATGACTTTTTTATAATTATGATAAAAAATAATAAAAATTTTTAATTTTTGAATTGATTTTAATCTTTATACAAAATTTTTAGAATACTTTGGTAAGATCTTTTTTGTTTAAATAAATCATTTTTTTACACATTTTTACATACAAATATTTCTGCGAAAACGTTAAAGAATGAACATTCTGATTTTATTAAATGAAACCAACTTGCATATGTGCCAACTTTACTGACAAGGAAAGGAAATCAAGAAATTTTTAAAATGCTTCAGAAAATGCATTTTATTTTATAGAGAAAACTGATATAATTATGAATATTTTAGAACACAATTAAAAGGGGAGACCACTTTAATTGAACAAGGGGGGATCTATGAAAGAAATATGGAAAAATAAACAAATTCATAAAACTTATTTAAACATGCTTTATTTTAGCTTTTATTGTTTTCAGTAAAAAGAAATTTAAAAAACCTGCCTTACTGCATTTATTATCTTGTCTCATTTTCAAAAACACATAATCTCAGCATAAAAGTAAAGAATTATAAAGTTTTACAAAAATTTGTTCTCCTAAAATAATCTAATTTTGATATCACAATTTCATTATATGTGGAGTTTTACCTTCCTCTCCCACCCCATATTTCTTCAACATCACGTCCTAATTTCTCCTTCTGGTGCATGTGCAATAAGAATCTCATATCTGTGGGACTGCAGAAAAGAACTCTTCCCTTCTGTTTTGAATGGTTGCTCTGTTCATCACTCAGATTAATGTCATTCTAATACTAATATATATTTTAATTCATCAAAAGAATTTTTTCTTTACAAATTTTTGGTGTTTAATAATCATCGAAAAACCCAAAATTGTGACTATGGACTTGAATGCATAAACAGTTCGAACAATGTTGGTAAATGATGATACTATTGTTTCTACGCAAGCACCTGAAATCAACAAAATTTCAGTTAAAGTGACACCATTCTGGAAAGATAATTCAAGTATATGGTTTTGCTAAATTAAAAGCTAGATCATTAATAGTGGGATAACTGCCGATGCAACAAATTATGATATCGAGGTGGGCCACATCAAGACCAACATGTTAAGTCAAGTAAATGAATTGATCCACCTCCAGTTATTCATGCATATGACACTTAAAAAAAAAAAAAAAAAGATTAACTGAGGCTTTTTCTGACTCTGAAGAACAAAAATTAACAAATCTTTTGAGAGATATTGAACTAAGTGACAAACGCCCATCTGCTTTACTTCAACAAATGCAGGAATTGGCTGGGCCTCTAGCCAAAAGTGAATTATTAAAATCTTTGTGCCTTCAACGTCTTCCAGCCAAGATTTAAGTCATATTGGCCTCTTCCAATACTGAACTTAAAAAATTAGCAGCTATCACTGACAAAATCTCTGGCATTACAACCCCTGCTCAGTTTCATGCAGTTGGAAGTCAAATCGAAAGTAACTAATTCTGCCGATACAAGTGATGTTTTAGATAACTTGCAGAAACAAATATCTGATTTATATAAAAAAAGTAGATAACTTTTTGCATTGTATTCTCTTGTTTCATTTCACTCTTGTGGTCATTTGAATTCTATATCTAGATCTTTACCCATGAATAAGCAAAATAAAAAAGTATCCATGTGCTGGTACTATGGAAAATATGGGGGAAAAGCTGTTAAATACAACAACCCTTGCAATTTTAAATAAAAAACTAGAAGGCCAAGTGATGAATGTCATAGACCAAAATAATTTCCACCTCCTTGTACATGAAAAAAAAAAAAAAACTTTTCAGAATGCATGTTTTGGTCAATAAAGGAGTTGATTTGTCCATCTTACCTCTTACTCCACAAGACCAATTTAAAACAATATCTTTTCAATATCAATGGTTTCCAAACAAGATTTTCATCATATCACTGTGTGTTTTTCGGGAGAGTTGCTCAATTTAGTTGCTCAATTTATTGCTCAATTTAGTTGCAGCAAACGGTCCAAAAATTGATGTCGTTGAAAAATGTCTAGCAAATTTAGACTTAGGTCTATGCCAAATTTTTTCATGGATTTTTACTATTGCTAATGTTATATAATCAATTTTGGGTGTAGAATTTTTAAATAATTGTGGCATTGTTGTCAATTTGAAATCCCAAAAATTAGTTGACAGCAAGAATAACATTGCAGGTGGCAAGATATCCTGAGATACTGTACCAAAAATTAGTTTTACAACTGTCACATGTACTTACGATTTACTTAAAAAAATATGATTCTGTCTTTGAAGGTGTTTTACAGCAGCCTCTGGATACGAATACTCATAGTATTACATATATAATTGAAACTGAAGGTTTTCCAGTAGTGACTAAGGGTAGACACTTACCACTTAGTGCAAAAAGGCATTTGTAGTCCTTCTAAGCTGTTGGAATAGTCCTCCTCTGCACATGAGTTAAATAAAACTGGGTAGGTCTTAGTGACTTTGCAGGGACTACCATATACTAAATTCAGTAACAATTCCAGATAATTATCCAATTAGACATCTGCATGATTTTACATCAAATTTAAACAATAAAACTTCCTTTTTTTTAAGCATATCACAGGCATAGTTACTCCTTTTGGATTATTTAAGTACATGATATTTGGTATATGTCAGGGGAGGCCAAGCTGCGGCTCTTTGAAGGAATATTTATGGCTCTCGATAAATGTACCAGAGTTTGCTTTTCATTTTTGTGTTACTATATTTTAATCATTCCGTATGTGTTTCAAAATAATTTTTAAACTACTGACAACAAATATGAAAGACTAAGTGCAACATTGTAACAAATTTTATTTCCCTCCAAAGAATGATATGAGTCATCGAAAACTGCATAAACGAACATAAACAGTGGTGTATCAGTTCTGTTCATCGAATTTTCTTCCCCTTCAACTGCTTCATGAATTATGAAAAACATACGGGAGTCAAGGCCTTGTCCGGCCGCTTGCTTCTCGATGAATGATGATCTACGATATACATAATTGAGCGACTCCAGACCGATTTTGAATTTGTAAACTTTCATTGCAACGGACGGTTGACACTGCGCTCTGGAGGAAACAATTTGTATCACTCTTCCTACAGATACAACTTGTAATCTGGAATATTTGGTAAGTTAACTATAATTCGTTTCGTAATATGTAACATATGTTGTTATTGTTTCAATAACACAAAACTTGTATTTTTTGTCAATTTATTTATTTCCAGTTCTTTTAAAAATATGACGACAGAGAACGAAAAGAAAAAAGAAAATATGAGTAAGAAAATAGAAGTTTTAATAATGAGTGGGAGGAGAATTTCTTTTTTACTCACAATAACGGAAAAGGCATTATGTGTTATTTATAATTCTATGGTAAAAAATTATAAAGCTAGCAATTTACATCCACATTATGAAATCAATCATATTCAGTTTTCTAATAAGTAGCCATTAAATTCCAAATTAAGATCAGACAAAATTGCTTCAATAAAATCAAATTTAAATACACAACAGTCAATTTTGATTACCTTTAGCATTCAAGGTAATAATGTGGCTGAAGCCAGTTTTGTTATTGCCTGGGATATTGCTCACACAAAATGCCCATATGGAGAGGGAAAGTTTATTAAAAAAAACTTGGAAGATATACTTTTAGTTTAGAAGTTTTATATCCAAATAATGCAGCATTGCGCAAAGTTGTTTCGTAAATTCCAATCTCGAGACACACAACACGATGCATAACTGCAATTAATACATCTTTTGAATATAATTTTAAAAATGATTTGAAAAACTGTATTACATTCAGCATAGCCCTTGATGAATCGACAGATATCGCACATCTTCCGCAATTGGCAATTTTCATATGTTTCGTTTCACCCAGTGGCGTAGCGAGCATAAATGGCGGCCGGGGCAAAATACCTTTTTGGCGCACCCTCTCCCGAAAAACACACAGTGATATGATGAAAATCTTGTTTGGAAACCATTTGGCGCCCCTCTGCGAGCGGCGCCCGGGGCATCATACACCCTCTTGCCCCCCGCTCGCTAAGCCACTGGTTTCACCTGACTTCGTTGTTAAAGAAGAATTATTAGATTTAGTAGCACTTCAAGAGTCAACCCGTGGTGTCACTATTAAAAATGCATTAGATTCCATAATGAAAACTTTTGATGTGCAAATTATCGCTGTGTCGGAAAGTAACTAAGTCACATAAAGGTTTAAATAATTGATTATACAGTCAAAAGTCGTTAATTTGGACACACATAATCCGAAATGATCTATAATCCGGACCTCAAAGCTAAAAACTTTCTGCGCATGCGCCGCGTTGACACATGCGCATAGGCGTTTATACGTGCGCGCAAGACCTTTACAACTGCGCATGGACGGTATAAGCTAAAATTATCTATTACAGTTAATGTTGATGATTGTGTTGTTCCTTAACCTTCGAATTGGATCCGGCTTATTATTTTTTGCAGACTGTAAGAGCAATTTTATAAAAGTAAACTTGAACTTTCGATTATGTCAAATAGAATTTCCGATGCTGGAGCTCCCAAAGGATCTACAAAACGAAAGTATGTTTCGATGTCCATCAAACAAAAGTGGAATTGCTGCAAAAAATAGATAAAGACATGAAGGTGACAGAGAGGTTAGTGAAAACGAAAAAATTTCAATTGACAAGTTAGTCGGTATTCTCGGCACAGCAATTACGGGACTTGAACAGCGGAACTTTGTAACTGAACAAGAAATTATGTCTGTTTATAGAATTAAAGAGAAAGTATTATCACATAAAACGAAGCAACTTAAACAACTTGCATTGAAAGAAATGTTTAATAAAGTAAACAAATAAATATTAAGCTTTTTTTTTTTTTTTTTTTTTTTTTTTTTTTTTTGTAAATTTTGATATTCTTTAGATCATAATTGTTCTTTATTTCATAAATTACGGTTTCACATTTTTAATTTTAGAATTTCTGCATGCCATCTTACCAGATTTAAACTGATGATCTATAATCTGGAAAAATCGATAATCCGGAATCGCCGAAGTCCCGACAAATCCGGATTAACGACTTTTGACTGTATTATTTTAGTTAAATTTATCAATGTTATACTGTTTCCAGAAAATCGTCGAAACATTCTCAAATCTCAGAATTAAAAATTTTAGATTGAAACTGAGCTTAAAATCACCAAAATGTTGATAAGTTGCCAAATTTAGAGCCGTTTAATTAAAGAATTCACATCATCCCCAAAAGCAGAAAGTTGTTTAAGAGCTCTTCATTACAAAAAAAAATTAAATAATTTTGAAATGCTTATGTTTAACTCCTTGCTCAGAAACTCCAGTCACACCCTTTATATTAGAAATTGAAACAAATTATAACCCATGAACCAATTCAAAAGATAATATTTGTCAGTGAATCATCAAAAATATTCCACCAAAATGCTAATTCACACTCAAAATAGCAGTCGTAAAAACAAGGCTTAAATTTAAGGACCTTCTGCCGATTCTGGCCGAAATTAAGGACTTTTAATGACCAAAAATCGATTCCAAAACACCTAAGGACTTTTAAGGACTCTTAAGGATGAACCCTGGTTCGACTGCAGTAGTTTTTGATGTTACAGAATAACAATTTCAAAGGTTATATCAAATACATAAAAACAGTTTGTACTTTAAATATGGATTTGGCTATAAATTGAACATCATTTTCTGGGGACTTTACAAAGAAAAATAAATAAATAAATAAACTTATAAAATGTGGATTTCGTGCATAAAATTATAAAACTAAACAAATTTTTTCAAAAAAAAAAAATAAAATAAGGGAAAAGTTGGCAGATAAGCAACTAAATCATTATTATAAGCTACTTTGAATTCAATTTAGAATTTTCAATATAAAGTTAGGGGAAATTATGCTGAAAAATAAACTTACCGCTCAATTCAAAGAAAGACACTATATTAAAAATTGTGAGAAGAGATCCAGGAGGAAGTAAACAAATACCTAACTTTCCACCCAACGATAATGAAAAATATCTTATCTTATTATCCAACACAAAGTACATAACTGCAATTTGTGATAATGAAACACTATACGCAATAAGCAGTGCAACAGTTCCAAAAATAGCTGGAAAGAAGCAATAATATTGTTAGAAATACTAGTTTAGCAATATTTTTAACAAGCAATAATATACTTATACATACATGGAAATATAAATGTGATATGTGAAAAATACAAATATTATTAGGTAATCCAAAAAAGTTCTGCATTTTTTTCAAATCAAAGCACTTTTCCTTCTAATTATTCTGTTACCGCTGATACACAGTGACCTTGATTGAAGCGGATGTTTATGTAGTCTTTTACGTTCCTGTTGCATAATTCTAACATGTATTGTGGCATAATTTTTGTTTCTGCACAGTGCTAAGAATGAAGAGCACAAAAGTTCATTTTCGTCAAGTTCTTTTATTTTTTTAAAAGAAAAAATACTAGCCAGACCACTCATAAATTTATGCTATATACAGAAAAAGTGCTGCTTTTGATGGCATAATTTGAAGGTGGTTTAAGAAATTTAGGCGTGGAAACTACTGCTTGGAGATGATGCCCGTTCAGGATAATTCTCTCTAAACAAGAACTTGTTAAAAGAAGTTATAGTTGAAAATTCATACTATACATTTTGGGAACTATTAGACAGTCTAAAGATTCCGAACGTACAGTATATTATCATCTGAAGAAAATTGGGTACGTAAACTGCTATGATGTATGAATACTCCTTACTTCAACAGAACATGTTTCCTCAAGTTTTGATATGCGATTTTTTGTTGAAAAGAAATAAAGTAACTTCGTTTTTGAAATGGTTCATTAATGAGATGAATACCATACAATAACATTACAATAAAAAGATCATAGAGTAAGCAAATGAACCTCCTTTTGAAACACTGATAGAGTGTCTACGTCCCAAAAAGGGATGCTTTCTGTATAGCAGAACTATTAAAGAATTGTACACTATGAATTGTTGCTATCACAACCTGATAAAAAATTCAGATAAATACGCTGTTTCCAAATGCCTGTTTTGACTCTTAGAAAACTGAAGCCTTCGCTAACCTGTACATTTAAAATAGCAAAACACCCAAAATGCCTTACGAGATTCACAGCAGTTTCCTCCCTTCCCATCCATTAACGCATAAAGAAGTGTGAAGATTTCAAATGACATCCTTTCCACTTCCTAGCAAATAATGATCAGAAACCATAAATAAATCCTTTTAGGACAAGCTGTCAGCAATAAACTGTTACAATGCACTTTGGGAAACTGCACCTGCTATTGCATACCTTAGGCGGTGGGAAGAAAACACCATTGCAATCTCAGCCATTTCGGGCAGTTGCACTCATTTCAGTGAAAGGCCATCTCAGGCATTTTGGTTTTGAAAAGATTAAAAGCAGAAATAAAAGCAAAGTGCCCAGAACTAACCAATCATCAAAGTCCTGTCTTTCATTTTGATTCTGCTTAGGCCTATATTTTAATGAACGTCAGACAAAGACTTATTGAGTATGAACAAGATGTTTTATATCCTCTCTCATATTCACCGGATCTTTCTCTCTCGGATTTCCATCTCTTCAGGTCACTCAAAATTTTCTGAATGGCCTGGGGTAATGATGACCACATGCATATGAAAAATAAGTTAGCACTGCGCTATGATATTGTTCTTTTTCATACAAAGGTTTAAACACTCTAACATGCCCAACTTATATGAACTGAAAGTTAAATGGTTTCTTATTTTGTTCCAGCCATTTTGTAGAGAACATTTTATGCTAATTAATTCGTTTTCTGATTTTGATCTTCATTATCACTTCTTCTTCCTGTTAATTTACACAGAGATTTAAATCAGTTACAACTATTTAAGTCATAATTTTTTAAAGTTGTAGGTTTAGAGCTTTGGCAGCTACATTCAAAGTAGTACTTTCATCTTGACAAGCTCTGCTACATTAATTATCTGCCATTAGCTATTTTGCTACCCAAATTTAAATTGGACGCTTCATATTTGAGCCAATGCTTAATTAGGCCCTTTGGACTGCAGTTTCCTGCAATAATTTACTTAAATTGTAAATCCAATTGTCTGTTAGCTGATTAAGTTGCAGACCATGAAATTGTACACACAAGCCACGCAGTTTGTTTCAATTAAAACTTTTAATAAAAATGTTGATTAAACCTTCTTAGGATCCCATTAAAATTTCAAAGATAGAGTGATACCTAACCTGTCAGTCTAAGTAAAGTTTAAAAACTTGAATTTAGGTAAAAAAAACACCCTATAATTTATGTTTGTAATTAATTTGCATTTGAAATTAACAGTAATTTTAAAAAATGCTGAAAAACAAAACATTACACAACCTATACAATAGAACTAGCTTTAAATCTACAATATGCATTAAAAGCATGCCGTGTTTCCTAAAAAATAAGACTACATCTTATATTAATTTTTGATCCAAAACACACACTATGGTTTAGTTTAGGAATATCTTATTCTTTCCCGCATGCTTAAAATCTATCCATTTACAACACATCACATTTATTCATATAATTAAGAATCTCCCTTTATTCATTTATTTATGTACATAAATTTACATTTATTGAAGTACAATCATATGAAAGAAGCCCATTAATCAGCATCTGCAGTTCTATGGAGAAACTCTCGCTTGGGCTACGCAAATCTTTTGTCTTTGGGTGATCCTCACAAATCCTCTCAAATGGAACCCACACATATATTTTATTATCTAAAAGTTTCAGGTGCATAAAGCTAGACTGTACCTCTTAATTTCATGAAACAGTGTTCTTCCTATTGATAACAAACTACGCATTTAGAAGTCTATCTTGTGATCCATGTTATGTTATACTTGTCTGGCCTGGGCATACTCATGTAAATAACACAGGGAAATGCAGCAAACTGCCAGAACAGTGTTCTGAGGCAGATTTTGGATGCACTATGGTGCATTTGTAATAAAACTATTCTTGAGAAACTTGGCATTGTCAAGCTCAGAACCTTTTACTACTATCTTGCTAAAAGTTTTCATTGTTGTATGAGAAATAGTAACAACACCGAACTGTGAATTGACAGTTACGATTATAATAATGTGCAAAACATAAGACAGCCTATGGCTATTCTCAATCCTAGAATTATTAAAGAACATTAATGTATTATTACTTTGCTTTCTTTTCTGGCTTGCTTTGTTAGTTATTGTATTTTTATATGCAACTTGTATTCTACCTTTCCAGTGTTGGTATGACTTTTCACACTTGCTCACCATTGCTCACTGTACTCAGAAAAACTCGATAGCTTTCTGATGCTTCTCCCCATATATCCATTTTCTAGTACAAAGGTTAATACTTTTTTATATTATTAAAAAGAAAAAAAAAATATTAGTATAAGTCTGTATATATAATTTTATTATAATCAACTTTAAATTAGTCGAGATACTATTTTGAAGCTTTGTATTTTTTTATTTGGGGTAGGGTTCGGCCAGGTACCCAAATGTCTTTTAAACACTATTCCACAAGAAAGAACAATTATATTTTCTTCTAACCAATTTCTTTTAACTCAGCATTATAAAGCTCTAAACCTTGAATTCTATCATCATCAGTCTTCTTAGGGATTGATCATATCACTAAAATAAGTCATCAACTCACTACTCTGATGCTTTGAATTCTTCTAAGGATATTTCTAACTGTTGTACAAATACTCAAATATGAGACCTGTGAATAACCAAAAACTTTTACTTTTTGTCAGCAATGTATTCAATCTTTAATCTTTCAATCAAGAAATACTGACTACCAACCCGATTCACATTTCTGCTGCCTAGCATTTCTCTGGTCCATCTGTTGATTGTGGTTATCATACACTAATACTAATTTTTGGACCATTCGAGATCTAACTTATTTTGTAGTACTTTGTAACTTATTTTTGATCTAACTTATTTGAAACCAATTCTTTGCAGAAATCCTCCATTATTACTTTTGTGTTCTTCACAGGATAGCTATTTATTTAGACTTGTCTTGCTTAGATATCAAAATTTTATTCCACTTAAATTCATTATTAAACTGTGTTAACTGAAAATTTACTATATAGAACGTGACAACAAAATCTATTGAGAATAGAGAGTCTCAAAAAAGCAACAAAAACTTGCATGTGCAAAATACAGAAAGCATTTCTTTATTTCACATGAGTGTATTAAGGCTGTTACACTGTACAACGTATTAAAATGTGAAGCTTCTAAACAGTCACAACCATGTCCATTCATTATCAAGTGCACTCAAATGTTGATTTGCATTCCAAGTGGTCATTTGGTAATAGATCTGGCCAGTGATCTTAACTAATGCTTTTGGGGTAGGATTTGCATTATAAGCATCCCAAAATATCACAATAAGGCTTATTTTTCTAATTAAGTTTTATTTTCAGAGAAACACAATTCAAAGACAAAGCAATTATTCGAAGTTTATACACACAGTGCTGTTGCTGTTTTGATCTTTAACAAAGAAAAAGGGAAGATCAAATTATGAACTGAGTGTCAAAGAAGAACTACTGGAATTGTGTATGCAGCATATTTATTTTAATACTATTCTGTATTGATATGTTTGAAAACTATATCCTTTATTACATACTCTTCTTCTAAATAAGTGCCTTTTGAGCCCTTGATCCAATTTAATTAAAACAAAACCATCGACAAAGTTAGATTTACATGAATCGAACTTGTGAGCTTTACATCAGTTCCATTTATTACACAACTTCAAAGGATATAATACCAAATTACAAAAAGCTGTATAATTCTTCACATGCTTAATATCTTGGGGTGGAAAAAGACACATTAATAAACCTGACATCATAAAAGTAATTATGTGCAATTTTAAATTTAAAAAGGCCTTACTGACACACACACACACACATAAATCCAAATAATGAAAGCAATATAACAATGCAAAACTAAATTCTAAGATTCACATAATTAAAAAAACAAATTAATTTTTCTTCAAGTACACTGGCTTCCAGAAGTTAAGCAGCTAATTAAAGAATTATGATAACTTGGCTAAAAGTAGTTCTAAATTCTTGAAATCTGGAAATGCTACAGATAAAAGCAAGCTACATTGAGAAGCATTGTTGCAAAAGAGGAGCACTAACATAGTATAACATTAAGTATGATACAGTTTAAAAATAACTGTTCAACAGGAAATCACTATTCATGATCCGACAGTATATTACAACATTTCAAAATACCCACTGTCAAAATGAGTTCAGAGCAACACTTGTCAGCAGAATTGCGTTATAAAGCCAAAGACCTATCAGATGCAGTCAACGACATTGCAAGGTGGCTAAATGTCAACCGTTCCGTCATCAGCTGGTTGCGAAACCAACTTCTAGCTACTTGTGGCAGCCTCTCAAAAACTTACTAAAGGTAGGGCAGGAATTACCACTTCTGCAGATGACTGGTATCTGTGATTTAGTGCTTACTACAACAGCACTGCAATTTCATTTCAGCTTAGGTTCGCACTTCTGCAGGAATCAGTCACAACAGTACGCAGAAGACTGCATGAAAGAGGTGTGTTTATAAGCTAGATGACAAACATTTTGTGTCCTACTTACTTCCAATAACCAGAGGGAGAGTTTGAACTGGGCTAAGTTAGACTCAAAATCAATGGAGGTCTGTTCTGTTCAATGATGAGCTCCATTTTGCTTTGCAGAGTGATTCCCAATGTGTTTACATACGAAGAGAAACAAACATCTGATACTTTCTATCTAGCATGGAAAAGAGAAATCTATGCAGAAGGTAGCATTCTTGTATGGGAAAAAATATTTTTACCTGGGTGCAGAGACCTGTATGTGCTGCCACATAAAACACTTAATGCTCAGAAGTACAGAAATTGACATACTTGATCCTATTATGCATCCATATGCTGCTGCCATTGCCAATACCTTCATTTTGCAAGCAGATAATGCCCATCTTCACATTGCTCGTCTTCCTGCCGCACCAAATTCTTGAGAAGAAATTGCAGTCCATATGGAGTGGACAATACGTTCTCCTGACCTCATTCAGAATGCAAGGGATGCTGTCACGAAGAATACTGCTGGCCTCCATCCTCTCTTCCAAAACCCTAGATGGGCTTAGAACTGCTTCATGTGAAATGGACACTGTTACTCATGCAGCTCATTAACACCACCATAAGCAGCATGACTGCTAGGCCAGTATTTTTGTTCAGAATGATCATTAAGAAATCTTTTTTGTATTTTATTTTTATATCCTAATTCTGGAGATTTGATGTTCCTGTGATTATCACAAAATGTAAATATTCTCTATAATAATTTCTGGTGTTTTTAAGTTCCAAGTGGTATAGTAAATATTATCACCAAGTTTTGTCAAATTAGTTTGCACATCTTTTGAGTTATCAGTTTTTAGTTTCGAACCAAAGTAGTTACTTTTGGAAACCAGTGTAGCTATGAAGCAATTTTATCATAAAAATAACATTACATATTATGAAACTTCCATAAAAATTTATTTATTTCATTAAATTATTGACCGAAAAAATTAGCAATCAATAAACTAACATACATCGACTTTTATAAAGACTTGATAAAAGAAAAACTAATATAAAGGAATTATATATAAATATAATATATAATTCTATTTTATAAAGACTGATATAAAGAAATTAAAAATTAACAGAAGTACACATACTTTCATTAAATAATTTTGGGTTTTTCAATATATGAGTACAATTTTAATATTCTGAAATTAAAGATATTTAAAAAAGTTGAAGATTTATTTTGTTTTATTAAAAGTTCATTTCTGATGAATAAAGATTAATTTAATTCTTTTACATCGAGAAAGGACCAAATCTCTTTTCCTCAAACATCAAAAACGCCAGTGGATTCGAATTTCTGTTGGAATGCTTTTCCTTCCCCCCATGACAAATTGAATACTGCAGCATTAACAATAATCTACTTAAGTAAAGCAACAACTTCTTTCTTGGAGGCTTTCACCCTGTGTGAAGTTCCCCCTTGGGATGGGCATGCAACTTTGAGCATCAATAGCTAAACATTGACAGTAAACAAAGGGGAAAAAGGTGCACTAAAATAACAGAACTATTTTTAGTCGCTTGAAAAGAATGACCGACATGTCATTTAACAACTCCTGAAAGCAATGAGCAATGCAGTAATGTGATGGGGGAGCACTAGGTAGGAAACTATTCAGGCGTTCGGGCGACCTGCCGCTGTCTGAATGTTCGGGCATTTGGGGTGACTTCGATACGAAAGAGTTAAAGGCTGAAATAAAAGTAAGTATACCATATTATTATAAAATTGAATAACTATGATGTAAATAAAAGTATTATTTTATACACTTTTATTTAAGCTTTATCTTATATTTTAAATTTATTAAAAATAAAGTTTTAAGAATGAAATCTAAAATGATATTTAACTTACCTCGATTGAAAAATGTACTAAATGCCATACAAAATAAAACCAGACTGGCCATAAATAACAACATTAATACTAGTAATAAAAAAAAATCTGTATGTGGAATAAAAACTAAGGATAATCTCAGCGGACTCTTATAAATTATGGTAATTATCAGCATCACCAGGGCTCCAAGTCCAAAAAAATTTATAAATGTACTAGTCCAATACAAAGCATCTGTCATGCCCATCATCTTTAAAAGCTCCTGGGGGAAAAAAAGAATTTTACACAAAATGCAGTTGAAAAACTACATATGAGAAAATAAAAATTCTCACATAAAAAATAATGCACAAATATAATAAAATCTTGCTAAGAAATTTATTAAACTTAAAGCATAATCCAGTAAATATATAATAAATCCTAAATAACCCAAGAAATATAATGCATACATAGAATCAAAAGGGATAAATGTTTCTAGATCCTTAAATACTCCAGGTCTTCTAAATTAAATGGTATTTATCTTCTAAGTTAGAAAAAACTTACAATAAATGTAAAGCACCAAACATAAAAATAACAGCAAAGAATGTAATCAGTATGTTAATTCTTTGGCTAGTGAAATTAATTTTTAGATATCATCTACCTATATATTAACATCCTAGCATCATGGAACTGTTATTAAAATAGAATAACAAGTAAAAAATAAAAAACATAACAACATGTTAAAATGATACAGCACAAGTCTGACACTCTAGCACATTCAAGACTTTAGTGATGCCAGATCCTCATTTGTAAACATTTTTAAAAAGCAAAATTTATTCATAGCTTAATCACGTTTAAGCAGTTTATCATTTGAAGTCATCAATATTGCCAATGTATCATTTCTTTCCAAATGAAGTTCAAATGTTCATTTGCTTCATAGATTCCACTAATAAAGACTTCTCCAACCTTTTTTTTTTTTTTTTTTTTTTTTTTTAAATTTGTAAAACATGAGTATGTGGCAGATGATATTTCTCAAGCGGCAAACGTCTTCTTCGTGGCTGAATGACTGACTCATCAGCATGTGCCACAAATTTTCAGATGAAGGACACACCGTGTGATTCTTACTTAAAAGCATAAACCCAAGCTATTCTTTAGATTACTGAACAGCAACAACAGCAGTAGAAGTGACAAGTGGAGAACCAAAGGGACTTCCTTAGCTGTTCCTGAGCTTCTGACCTGTTCCTGATCCGACAGCCTGTAATAGAAGCCTGCAATTGTCCTGAAGGAGGCAAGGCCAGCACTTTTTTCATCCATACAGCAGCATTAATATCATCTTCATACTGCAATCTTTCATTTAATGGCAAAGTGCCATTCTTTAAATTTTTGTTATGCTAGTTTTTTGTTAGTTTGATGGACATGAATAAATTCTGATTCAGTTATCAATAGAATGTCTTACCTAACTCCCTTTTTGTTCAGAATGAAGTCATATAGGAAGCATGTTGTTCCTTGTCGCTGTATAACTGATGATAATTGGTGATCTGGAACATTCATGTACTTGTTGTTTACAATACATACACTGACGGGGGGGGGAATCCCAACAGCAAGAAAATATTAATGTAGAGCAATGAAATTTTGGCAATACATTTGTCTAAGTAATACATTTAGTTGATTAAATTTTCAAGATCATAGGTATTGAAAGCATAATATTTAGGCATAATTTGAATTGTAGAATTGAAATATGGAAAATAATTGGCATCTCATTTCAGAAAATGTCTGATTTTGTGTCAAAATACCTATATTAGAACAATGCTATATATAAATCTAATACATATCCTACGTCACGCTTTCGAGTCATGAAAAACGCAATTTGAGTTTCGTGAATCAGCCTAGTAGAACGGGAGATATAAAACTCTCCCCCTCCTTTTTTTTGCACAGTGTACATTATAAACCTGTGCAACCAGAATGCAAGCATGCAGATATGCACGCACTGTGTCGCACAAGTACCAGATGTCAGTCTGTGGGATAGAGTTCCATGTCTGTTGCATTTGGTCGGTCAATACGGAGACAGTTAATGCTGGTTGTGGATGATACTGGAGTTGTTGTCCAATGATGTCCAATAAGTGCTCATATGAAGAAAGATTTGGTTATCTAGCAGGCCAAGGCAACATGTCAACACTCTGTACAGCATGTTGGGTTACAGAAACACTACAAGGGTGAGCGTTATCCTGTTGGAAAGCCCCCCCTTGAATGCTATTCATGACTGGCAGCAGAACAGGTTGAAACATGAAAGTGATGTAAAAATTTGCCATCAGAATACATAGGATTACCAGAAAAGTGCTTCTGCTGCCATACGAAATTGTTCCACAGACCATAACTAAAGATGGTTCAGTGTCTAGGCCATAGGTTGATTGCAGGAACTCACCTGGCTTCCTTCTAACGAACATAGGGCCATCACTGCAGTCAGACAGAACCAGCTTTCATATGAAAACACAAAAATATCCACTCCATCCTCCAATGAGCTCTGGCTTGATACCACTTACATCGCAAATGGCAGTGGTTTGGAATCAATGGAATGCATACTACACGGTGTCTAGCTCACAGTGTGTCTTTTAAATAACCAATTTGTAACAGTTTGTTGGGTTAGTGTAGTGCCAACTGCGGCTTGAATTTCTGCTGCAGATACAGTATGATGTACCACAGCTATACACCAAACATGGCTGTCTTATCTCTCAGTACTGCCGTATGGTCATTTCAAATTCTATAGCAGCTGTCATTAGTCTTAAGCACATCTGATTACTTGGAATCATTGTGCTCCAAGGTTCAAAATTTATTAAATGGAAGACTTTTTCAGCCATTGTGCCACAGATCAACAGTCTAAAAGGTCAAGTTTGCATGGCTGAAAAGGTTCCACTGTACCAAAAACATACTGTTGGCACCATAAAAGTACCAAGAAAAGTCTGAAAATTGCATTCCTCTGTGTAACTGCTCAGAAATTGCCACGACAAATATGGGGGAATGTAGAATAAAGGAACGTCAGTTTGTTTCACAGAGAAAAACAGTCCAGTGCTCTCTTGTATACAGTGGCGCATTAATGACTGTTTTGCTCGGTGAGCTGTGGTCTAAAATTTCGTAACTGCCCTGTCAGATAAAAACTGAATTCACATTTTTTACTGCTAATGGTCTAAAGCGGCATGAAAAATTTGGAAATGAAACTAGCTTTACACTGAAGTTTTCTTTTTTCTTCTGTAATTGCAGATGTGTCTCACCTTCTTATTGATAAGAATTTTTTGGCTTACTAGTGGCTGTCAAAAATTGTGTGTTAATCATCACATCCCTTAAAACAGGCATTAAATTTAATTAAGAAGACTCCTATTAGTTCTATTTCACTATTTTATGCACTGTTGCTTACATATCCAGAACTTTAAGATTCCTGATTAATAGGTGCATTTAAAGTACATGGAGTTCAACATTATATTGACTATTCTCATTCGAGGAGACATTTTCTGGAAAAATCTGAGGTTTCGAGAAAGGAGCTTAAGTCACAATTGAAAATGGCCATAATTTAGCCCTCAAAAATTCAGTGATTAAGCCTGTTCATTTGGCACCTAAGAAAAATGGATAATGGTATATTAATAGAGGTTATTGATGTTGTGATCACGGCCTGTCTACTTGGTGTCTAAGAAAAATGGGAAATGGTATATTAATGGAGATTATTGATGTTGAAATTCTGTGACACTGTCAAACTGTTACTCAATGCAACATATACATGATTTTCAAAAATTGACTTAGTCTACCACAAGATTCCACTTCATCCACATGATATCCCTAAAATAGCAATCATAACTCCTATCAGATTGTTTGAATACAAGTTTATGTACTTTGAACTTCTTACTGCAGCATAAATGTTTCAAAGATTTATAGGTATAATGAATTATTGACTTCATTATTTGGTTAATGACTGTTGCTCTGCTTATCAAGATGGCATCCTTGTCACTTCTACTGATGAGGCAATTTCCAAAGCTGGCTTGGAAAAGGTACTTTAAATATTATGTGAATATGGAATAGGTTTCAATCCAGATAAATAAGTATTTGGACAAAAGGAATAGTTTATTTAAGCTTTCAGTTGTTTCCTAATGGTATATTACCTTTACTTGAAGTTAAGTGTTTAAAGGATTTACATCCTTTACCATCAACTAGTATTTAGTTACAATGTTTCCTAGATTTTGAATTTTTATCATCTATTTATCAGCAAAGCCATCCTTTACCATCAAGTAGTATTTAGTTACACTGTTTCCTAGATTTTGAATTTTTATCATCTACAGTCAAAAGTCGTTAATCCGGACTCGTCGGGACTTCGACGATTCCAGATTATCGATTTTTCCGGATTATAGATCATCAGTTTAAATCTGGTAAGATGGCATGCAGAAATTATAAAATTAAAAATATGAAACCGTAATTTATGAAATAAAGAACAATTATGATCTAAAGGGTATCAAAATTTACAAAAAAAAAAAAAAAGCTTAATATTTATTTGCTTACTTTATTAAACATTTCTTTCAATGTAAGTTGTTTAAGTTGCTTCGTTTTATGTGATAATACTTTCTCTTTAATTCTATAAACAGACATAACTTCTTCTTCAGTTGCAAAGTTCCGCTGTTCAAGTCCTATAATTGCTGTGTCGAGAATACCGACTAATTTGTCAATCAAAATTTTTTCGTTTTCAATAACCTCTGCGTCACTTTCTTCACTATCGGAAGCGAATTATAATGACGAGGAATTTGATTTAAATCATATCAGAGTACATCGAGATGAAATACTACATTTAGTAAGGAATTATAAGCCAAATAAAATAAACACCTGTCCTGAAAATAAGGATAGTGCTGACGGATCAACTTCCAATTCATTGCGCGCCGCGGCGTTCCCCCCCTCCGCCGCAGAGCAGCTTGAAATTGATAAACATATTTCGGAATGGTTAGAGAAACAAAGGAATGCCTTTATCCATTTTTTGCAGCAATTCCACTTTTTGTTTAATGGACTTCGAAACATACTTTCGCTTTGTACATCCTTTACATATTAGTAAATATATATCGGAATTTCTATTTGACATAATCGAAAGTTCAAGCTTACTTTTATAAAATTGCTCTAACAGTCTGCAAAAAATAATTAGCCGGATCCAATTCAAAAATTAAGAAACGCAATCTGCAACATTAACTGAATTAGATAATTTTAGCTTAGCTTATACCGTCCGTTATACATTAAACACGCATGCGTCAACGTATCATGCGC